ACCACGACGAAGATCACGACGACGACGACGACGACGACGACGACGACGACGACGACGACGACGACGACGACCGCCACCACCACGACAACGACGTCGACGACCCCTCGAGCGGCCCCGAGGTCCGGACACCTTCCATTTTTGATGGTCCCGGGGACCGTTGGGGGCGTCAGGATGCCGAGAGTTTTCCAGAGGCTTCGGGATCGGCCACAGTACCTCAGGGCGTCTGGGGAGAGGGCTCTTGGGAGCCTCTTGGGGCTTCCTGCCGGCCCCGTGGGGCGCGCTTGGTTTTTTTTCGGGGGGGGGTTCTTGGAGGTCTCTCAGGGTCTCCAGGGTGCTTTTTGGGGGGGATGGCTCGAATTGTCGGTGGGGCACCCCTCGGGGCTGAGTGGGGAAGCTGTCCCGGGGCCCCCGACACTCGAGGGCCCCTCTTGAGCTGTCTTGGAGGCCTCTTGGAACTCTCTTTGGCTGTCTTGGGGCGATCTGGTCGGCTCCTGGGGCCGTCTTCGACGCGGTCGACGCCGAAGAGGTGAATATCGCAAAAACGCACGTTTTCCGAAAAAAGAATGGAACCATTTTTGCTTCTGGAGGCGCTCCTGGGAGTCCTCTTGGGGGACTCTTGGCCGTCGTGGGGCCTCCCAAAGGCCGTCTTGGAGCCATCGTCGGCTTTGGAGCGACAATTTGGGGATCCTGGGCCCTCGTGGACCCTCCTGGGACTCTCGGGTGGCTTTCCGGGGCTGTCTGGGGCTGTCTCGGGGGGGCCCCAGAAGCCCTCCATGGCCTTCTGGGACCGTCTTGGGGGCCTCCTGGACAGTCGAGGGCCCCTCTTAAGCTGTCTTGGAGGCCTCTTGGAACTCTCTTTGGCCGTCTTGGGGCGTTCTTGTCGGCTCCTGGAGCCGTCTTCAACGCGGTCGACGCCGAAGCGATGAACATCGTAAAAATGCACGTTTTCCGAAAAAGAATGGGGCAAGTTTTGCTTCTGGAGGCGCTCTTGGGAGTCCTCTTGGGGAACTCTTGGGCCGTCGTGGGGGCTCCCGGAGGCCGTCCTGGAGCCATCTTCGGCGTCTTGGAGCGACAGTTCGTGGATTCTGGACCGTCTTGGACGTTTGGAGCTGTCTGGGGCTGTCTCGGGGGGCCCCAGAAGCCCCGAAGGGCCCTCGGGGACCGTCTTGGGGGCCTCCTGGACAGTCGAGGGCCCCTCTGGAGCTGTCTTGAAGGCCTCTTGGAACTCTCTTTGGCCGTCTTGGGGCGATGTTGTGGGCTCTTGGGTCAGTCTTCGAGGCGGTCGACGCCGAAGATGTGAGTATTGTAAAAATGTAAGTTTCCGAAGGGAACGGGGCCGTTTCTGCTTCTGGAGGCGTTCTTGGGAGTCCTCTTGGGGGACTCTTGGGCCGTCGTGGGGACTCCAGGAGGCCGTCTGGGAGCCATCTTCAGCGTCTTGGAGCGACGATTCGGGGATTCTGGGCTCTCTTGGACGTTTGGAGACCTCCTGGGACTCTCGGGTGGCGTTTCGGAACTGTCTGGAGCTGTCGGGGGGGCCCCAGAGGCCCCCCGGGGCCCTCGGGGACCGTCTTGGGGGCCTCCTGGACAGCCGAGGGCTCCTCTGGAGCTGTCTTGGAGGCCTCACTCATGGAACTCTACTTGGCCGTCTTGGGGCGATGCTGTGGACTCTTGGGGCAGTCAGCGACGCGGTCGACGCCAAAGATGTGAATATTGAAAAAAATGTAGGTTTCCGAAGGGAATGGGGCCAGTTTTGCTTCTGGAGGCGCTCTTGGGAATCCTTTTGGGGGACTCTTGGGCCGTCGTGGGGGCTCCCGGAGGCCGTCTGGGAGCCATCTTCGGCGTCTTGAAAGGACGATTCGGGGATTCTAGGCTCTCTTGGACGTTTGGAGACCTCCTGCGACCCTCGGGTGGCGTTTCGGGGTTGTCTGGGGCTGTCTCGGGGGGGCCCCAGAGGCCCTGGTCCTCCCATGCCCCCCCGTGCCCCGGGCCCCGGGCGCGTGGGCCTCCTGCACGGGGATATGTATGTATATATATATATATATAAAACATATATATATAATATATATATATATATATATATATATATGTGAATATATATATATATATATATGTATATATGTATATATGTGTGTATGTATGTATGTATGTATGTATGTATGTATGTATGTATGCATGTATGTATGTATGTATGTATGTATGTATGTATGTATGCATGCATGCATGCATGCATGCATGTATTTATGTATGTGTGTATGTATGTATGTATATGTATGTATGTATGTATGTATGTATGTATGTACGTACGTACGTATGTATGTATGTATGTATGTATGTATGTATGTATACATATATATATATATAATTCATATATACATATATATTATCATATATATACACACTAGAACCATTGCGCGCGCTTCGCGCGCGCTCAAGTTCTAGCTAGGGTCATGATCATCGTCATCATTGCCATCCTCATCCCCGTCATCCTCATCGTCATCGT